CCCCCATAGATTTACCTGCATGCAGCTGCCAGGGCTGCTCCCACCACCCTGCCTGGCTGCATGCTGGCCAAATGTGTGTGCGCGTGCAGATGCACGTGATGCCCCCTGCCTCCAATCGCTTTTCCCCCACTTCCCTCAGCCCCAAGCAGCTCCTTGCTAGGGCAAGCTGGGAAGTGCTGGGGAAAACTTTGATGCTGAGCAGAGCAAAATCTCGGACATTGGTGAAATTTAAGAAAACAACCCAGACCTAGATGGGAGGACCCAAAAAGAGGAGATGTCTGGGGAAACCCAGATGTATGGTACCCCTGTGCAGCATAGATATGAAGTAGGTTTAGAAGAGATCTGCAGAAACATGCAAATAAAATAAACTTAAAAGAACTACTCAACATTTTTAATATTTGGACAGATTATTGTCTGCAGTATTTATCTATTTAATTGGTACAGATTTATAATAGACCCTTGGCCCCCTAGGATTTTAAACTTTTCATTACAGTTTGTATCATTGCCTGCCACTGAACACCATAAATGTAGAGGTCTTCTCACGTTTTAAAAGCACTGGTCCCTTACCACAGGAGTCTTAGTAGGAGAAGGTATTAGACAGATGGACAAACATTTGTAATTCTAGCTAGTAAATGGAAGTGGTACACAGATACACACCATATTTCAAATTAAGGTCTTTCAATAAAAAACTTTGCTTAGTGTTTTGAAATTGATTTGGGGATGGGGAAAGGGGAAAGTAATAAAATGGGAATGATTTTTCCCTCATTTTTTCACTTATTACAAACAGTCTTTTGCACTTTGCAGCAATTGTGTATACTTGCAAGGTTCCTAGATTCTGTGGCACTTTGGTGCAGTAGACCAGAAATTCAGTAGATGCTTAATTTAAATGAATCCCTTATCCATTTATTTATTCATGATACCTTTTCAGTATATCTGTAACTATCTGCAGGAATACATTGTTATTTTCTAGTAGCTTGTTAGCATTATTCATTAGAACATCCCTTAAGAGAAGTCTCGTGGTGGAGGCCACTATTGTAAATCCTGAAATCAATCTGCACAAGAAACATGCTCAAATACTGTAATTGCTAAGGTTGAGTCATATCCCCACATTGTGTGAAAAGAAATACACGTGTATTTACCATGAGCTGTTAAATACTCATCCTTTCCACTCATTCTTTAACTCAGGGGTAGGCAAATATGGCCTGCAGACTGGATCTGACCCACCAATTGATTGTATCTGGCCCATAGCTGCCCCTGTGGCACTCCACATGGAGCCAAGCCCTGCCCACTCCCATCTGGGGCAGCCCATGCCATGCCGCACTGCCACGTGCACCCACTCGATGCCTGCAATGGCACCACCCTGGCCCTGACCCTGGTCTCAGCCCCAGCCAGTGCACACAGAACGTCCTGCCTCCAGTAGCTCCTCTTCCTCCTTCCCCTGCTGTGCCACTCCAGGCAGTAGGTAGTGCAAGTAAGCGGTGGTGGCTGTGGGGAATGTGCCAGGCACCACATGCCCAGCCAGGTAGGGGGAAAGCTGCAGTTGGGCAGCCCCTGCCCCAGTGTGCAGGGCTCCAGCTCCTGGCTGCCTTCCACCCACTCAGCCACACAGCATGATGAGCAGCCACCTGCTGGTAGCTGGGTGGGTGGAAGGCAGCTTCGCTGGGAAACTGTGTGTGCTGGCCAGGGCCAGGGCAGTCACATCAGCAGGCAGGGGGCAGGTGCGGGGCAGGAGCAGGTGGGGCTCGGCCCCATGTGGAGCGCCACAGGGATAGCTGTAGCTGGCTGCGGTGTGGACAGACTGCACCTGCACCTGTACCACACCACCCAGGCAAGCTCTGCTGCACATGCCCCCTACTGCCCCCTCCATTCCTTCCCCTCCTACCCCCAGCTGGCTTCCAAGACCTAGTGCATGGGTAGCACCCCATACACATGCACACCTACCCTCCCTGCCCCACACACACACCCACACTGCTACCCCATGCCCCCCCACACCCAACCGCTACCCACACCCACTCACACACCTCCCCACCCATGCATATATCCACCAACCCCTCTACACACACAGTATACAAAAGTAGTATTTTATTTAAGCTACTATGCATTCACCTCTATATATACTACTCAAAAAAACATAAATCATGACACACATTATTTTTTGCAATAAAATTAAAATATAGTAGGTGTTTGATTTTAGTACATGATTTGGGGTTTTTTTCTATAATTTGTTAAAATGATATCTTCTGAAAGATTTTATGTATGTGGCCCTCAAAAGCTGACCAAAAATTGTTAAATGGCCTGACAGCCAAAATAATTGCCCACCCCTTCTTTAACCCTTTTCATACAATACTCAGAAACACAAAATCACCAGATTAAGAGGTATTTTTCCATTTTATTACTGTACAAGTATTACAGAGTTGCTAACCAAGGAAATAAGCAGCACGATGTTAGGCTTCTTTGCTGTTTCTCCTATTATACACTGTATGGCTCCAATTCAGCAAAGCACTAGTCATCAGTTTCAATAGCAATGCAAATGTATTTGAACCCATGAGCTATTTATCCAATGGGCCAGTTCTTCATTGAGCAGAAATGCCCCTGAATTTGTTATGAACAGGCTGCTTAAATAATTCTCCCACTAATTGAAGGATACTTTCCCTAAAGTGTAAGACCCAGAGGAGCTACTGAAACAAAATCAGAACAATGCATTATAATTTTATTCTACATGTAATCTTGGAGGTGGTGCATATGAGATCTTTCTGGTATTGTTATATATGGAGTCACTGTGAAACCGTACCACAAAAAAACACTAATACCTGGTAGCAAAACTTTATCTATTTTGATTCATCTCAGGATGACTTCCTATGTTTCTAGTAAATTGTGAGTTGCTTGGAACATTTAAAAGAGGAAAAGCAATAAGCGCTCAAGCCAGAAAAAGCAACATCAGGACAAATAGTCCAGACTTCCTTCACCCTAAGGATAGCTGTCATCAAGAATTAAGGCGGAAATTTTCCCTCTTAAAAGAAGAGGGAAAATCGATGGGTCCTCAGGGCTCTGTTCAATCAGCACTGAACCCGTAATGAACATTGCGGTTCTTCACTACTGGCTCATGCCAGTTCCACTACTGGAAGGATTCGGCAGAGGCCATCTAAACACAACTCATACCAACCCTTCCAATGGGAGGAAGCCTTTGAATTGCCTGGCAGAAATTCTGCATGGGGTTTACCTGTCTGATGTTTCCTAAACATATGGATGCCAGCACTGGAAATAATACCCAAAGCTACTCAAAGCTTGATTCACAAAAAGAACTTAAGCCCCTGATTCTTCCTTTCAGTATCTTTTAGGTGCCAAAGGTTCTGTTGACAAAATCCTACAAGTACCTACATTTTTTCTTCTGCACATTCCTATAACCACCTAAGTTTGGACAGCACTGACTGCTGAGCTCATTTCTACTCCCCATCTGAATTCACAAAATAGGCCAATGGCTAATGCCTGTCTCATTTGCAGAGCCAGATGTAGTAGATATGCTCTGACCATATGTAAGCATACAAACAATGGCAGCTAGAGAAAGAAATGACTGTTGCATCTGTTATTGTTCTAACTCAGAGCACTGCCATGGAGGTGAGACACAGGTTTAAATCCATCTCCTCTGAGAGGAGTTGAAAAATCATATGCTTGAACAGTTTCATAACCATGACGCTATAGGTTGTTCTGGGTTGTTCCATAGCAGTAGTCTAATGATGGGTGTGCAAGGGCAAGAGAAGCATGAACCCCTAGGCGCTTCCTAATGGTGGTGCACCAAGATGGACCTAGGCGGGGTGCCTCAACTTCCTATCCTCTCCCTCTTCCTTCCACCCTACACATTCCCTGAGGCTGCTTTGGTTCTAACAGTGGGGAGGGCAGAAAAGAAATGGCAGCGCATAGTGAAGGAGGAGCAGCCAGAGGTTCACTGCTACAGAGGGGATGTATTTGTTCTCTCAACATGCATAGCAGCAGAAAAGGAAGCAGCAAACCTCCAGCTGCTCCTCCTGCACCACCCACTGCTGGAGCCAGAGCTGAAAGAGGAAAGCTGTAGGGTGGGGGTGGGGGGCAAGGGTGAGAAGAGAGTTGGCAGAGTGCCACTGAGGGCACCGTAATGGCCAGTTAAGCCTCTGTTCTATAGGCCATTCTACACTCATCTCTTATTCCATCATGTTGAAGCTTTGCTACTTTGTGTGGAATACTTAAAATATTTTTTTGAACCAGAAAGAGAGTCATGCTCTAGTCTAGTGGTTATGGCACAGACCTGGGAGGGGGAGACCTTGTTTATGGCCCCTGCTTCAATTAATTTTTAATCTAAAATGCTGAAATAGTAATTCCACTGCTACCTTCTTCTCCAGCTGTGAAGAAAAAGACTGATCTCTCCTTGTTTTTTTTTTAAAAAGGGGTACAGGTGCCTAACTCTACAAGAGAATTCAGAGGTATTAATCCAAGTCAGAGATAGACATCTCCTTGCATGGGAGTTGGCATTTCCCACCAGCATTTTCTATGGGCTATTTTAAACAGCTCCATGCTCAGTATGCTGGTTGTTATAGATCCCTTTGTGATATACACAGCTCTCTCATGTGTTGTCTATGGAACTGAGATGCAGCACTGTGTCTGTCTGCCTTGTGAATCTAGTCTATAGTGGGTGTGTCTACACATTCCTTTACTGAGCAGTAACTTACTGCATAGTAAGCGGCTTTTAGACCAGCGTCGACATGTTCAGGCATTACAGTTCAGTAATGCTGTGTGTAGACTGACATGGGAGTAAAGTAAATCTCAATTCAGCCCACCCACACAGTACTACTGTGCAGTAACGCATCTATATGTCCATTTCTGTGCAGTAACTACTAGGGTGTACATTTGCTACCTGAATCATGCAGCTAGCAAATTTACACCCAAGTTGGCATAAGTCATCATAGTTACTGCACAGTACAGGCGCACACATGTCGACTCATGCCTCTAGTGCACAGTAATTTTTGGTTACTGCTCAGTAACCTAAATTACTGCACAGTAAGTGTGCATGTGTAGATGTATCCAGTGTGTACTTCTGCTTCCTGATGAGGCAAGACTGGCCCTTAAATACCATAAGAGAAAGTTATCTAAGAGAAATGTTCATATTACATAAATGCCATTATTAAAAGAAAATCATTTTCTCTTTTCAGCTTCTTGCAGAGGACTGGCCTTTTGGAGTTGAAATGTGTAAACTGGTTCCTTTCATTCAAAAGGCATCAGTGGGTATCACAGTGTTAAGTTTGTGTGCCCTCAGTATTGATAGGTAAGAGCCATTCTGTTTTCCCACCCTCTGTATTGTATTTTAATAATCTTTTGAAACACAAAATACAGATGTGAAGTCAATTTTTCTGTTTGTTTCAGCTGCTTTCAATTGAGCTTACACTGATTTAACACAAAACGTAATTTAGCTTTATAATCTAATAAACATCTGTTGTGGACATTTAGGTATCGTGCAGTTGCTTCTTGGAGTCGCATCAAGGGAATTGGAGTGCCGAAGTGGACTGCTGTTGAAATTGTATTGATCTGGGTTGTCTCAGTGGTATTAGCTGTTCCAGAAGCTATAGGCTTTGATATGATTTCCATGGACTATAAAGGAAAACATTTTAGAACCTGTCTGCTTCACCCCATACAAAAAACATCTTTTATGCAGGTAAGACATTCTTCCTTTAAACCAATTTTTCCTAAAAACTGAATGTAGCTTTCTCAAAAGTCTAAAGAGTTCAATGTAAGACTTTTTTGTCATTACTTACTATGAAATTCAATGGTGAATAGTAAGTTATAAAAAACCTGTTGCAGTCTTGTTATTTGGCTTTATGAAAGCTGCTTAACTTCTGTTTCCTATTGTAAAGTGAGTAATAATGCTTTTATAACTCAGAGATGTTATGTGGATTGATTGATTACTCAAATAAGGTATGCTAAATGCTGTACATTGTTAGAATGTAAATGTTGTCTATATTACACACAAAACTGAACCCTTAACTATCTTTTCTTCCAGTTTTACAAGATAGCTAAAGATTGGTGGCTATTCAGCTTTTATTTTTGTTTGCCATTGGCCATCACAGCATTTTTCTATACCCTGATGACCTGTGAGATGCTTAAAAAGAAAAGTGGAATGCAAATTGCATTAAATGACCACTTAAAACAGGTAATGATGTGTACATACAAGTAGTGCTGAGTAACTGATGAAATAGTAAGATCTTTACTAACCCATTTACTATACCATTCATGTTCACTAAAATAGATGTCTAGTGTGCTACTTAGTAGTTCATTAGCAGTAGTAATGCCAAGTATTAAAAAATCATAAACTAGCACCTCCAAAATTGTGAGATTGGCTTGAAAATCATAAGACTTTTACAGTAAGGCTGCTTGCAGACATGGAAAGAAAAAATATGGCATTTTGAACTCAGCACACTCCCTCGCCAAGCCCAGTGCATGTGCAGAAGAGCCATCGTGTTAGTTGGACATGGCTTTCCCAACATCTGTATAGACTGGGTGCTTTAGTGAGGTTTTTTGGCACGTTTATCTAATAACTGATTTTTCCCCACGTCTACCAGCACCCTAGGTTTTGGATTCTTTTTATTTGTCTCATAAACTTTGGATTGATGTTTCTAAGTTATCCTCTGCAGCTCTGAGGTTTAGAAACATTTTTAAAAAATGAATGCTGAGATTGCAGTGTAATTTATATAAATATAGAAGCCAATACTTCAAGAAAAACACCAAATTGTCAAAGGTTTGTGATAAAACTATGAGACCTAGTAAAATGCAGTGTTTTAATGAGGTCTTATTATTAACACTTCATTACAAAATGAATTTAATGAATTTACTCATGTGCCATGACAGATTATCATACGTATTAATATTAAACTATATTTGTAAAGTGTAGCTGCAATCCTTGCTCTCTTGTTTGTTAACTTGCTCGCTAATATGCAATGTCATTACAATAAATTAGCAAAAATCTTCTATATTAATATATATGTAATTTATGTCTTTTGAGATATTTAAAACTAGACCTTAGGTCAAAGCAAAAAGAAATATGTAGTTGAAAACAAGTGGGAATAGCTGTGGATTACCTCCTAAAGCAGAAGCAATACAGCCACCTCCAAAATAGTTAATTTACCCCGGCACAGTGCCAAATGAAGACAGCTGTACAAATTAGCTCTTCTGCTAGTTCTGTGAATACTTAAGTGCAAATTGTCAACAGAGCTAATTACCTCTTAATTAGTCATTAAAGTGACTAACTGGAACCAGAAGTGATGGAGACCACTTCTAATTCAGGAAGTATCTGGGACTGGATCTTGGATTTTGCTCCCCAAAAGTTATTCATTTTTATGAAGAATTTGTTCAGAACATCTAAAATAGAAACATCTGAAAATTAATCATATTTTAAAAAAATTAATGAACATCACCAAAGTGTGTTATTGGTACTCGTTGTATAGTCTTGAATATTTTGATTTAAAAAGAGAACAAGATCAAGAAGAAGAATTTTTTTAATCTGGTTCCTTTTGATTTTATTTTCAGAGGCGTGAGGTGGCCAAAACTGTGTTCTGTCTGGTGGTGGTCTTTGCCCTGTGCTGGCTTCCTCTTCACTTAAGTAGGATTTTGAAGCTCACTATTTATGATCAAAGAGACCCAAATAGATGTGAACTTTTAAGGTAAGAGGGTTTGGGCTAAATAAGATAGCACGCTTGCAAGGAAAATTCTCAAGCAGTGTTCACTTTTTTTCCCAAGCGTATTTTTTGTTCAGTTTTCTTGTAGCTGAAAGTGCTGTTGATTTACATCTTGCTTTTCACTTTGAATAGGGCCCTACTTATGCCATTTTTTTCCCTTTCAGTTCAGGAAGACTTGGATAGAGTTCCAGTATTTCTAATCCTCTGCTTCTACATATCATTAATCAAAATCATAACCCCCAGAATCAAGAGACTGTCCTAGACATAATGAGATTGTCTGAAAACAGTTGTTTGGCTCTGTTTTCTGCATTTGGATTTGACTCTTTGGGATGCACAAGTATTATGATTTTGAGCTTTTCTACATAATCATGAGGCCTAAAAAGCATATTCATTTGTGAATATGGTATTAAGAAACAACCCATATATTGTGAGAGTTGTGATAGAAATATGAATTGTAAATAGTGAGCTTCTCACATTTGAGAAAGGTAGGAAATCACATTTGAGGAACATGAAACACAATATTCTCCCAGGACAACTAAAAACTAGGAGCCAGATTTGAACCTCAGTCTTTCCTGGACTGTACTTCACCATCAACTACTATTTGGGATTGATGGACTCTGAGAGAGGAGGGAATTGGAATGCTCCTGTGATCTAATGATAAATACAATCCTTTACTTAATTCAAAGTTAGATATTGAGTCTGCCTCAAAGGTAGTGTTTCTGTCCAACTCCAGGTCTTCCTCCAGGAACCTGCAGATATTTTACCAGCTTATGGATCCATGCTGAGAAGCGGAGGGAGCTAGGGCAGGGTTCAGAAAGGTACACATTACCCACTATCTGTCTTCAAGTAATTCAGAGCAGAAAGATAGTGCAATCCAAGGTGGTACTGTATTTCTTCAGTGAGAATCCTGTTTGCAGAAGACCTCATAGGACAGTTTCATGGCAGTTGTGTTATCAAGACGTGATATGCTGTGCTAGGGGCATAGAGCCTCTACTCAAATGGTCCAAATCCCCTTGATCCTTCTGAGAACCATCCTGTAGTTCACACCTACGAGTAGTCTCAATGCCATAGGCACCATCTTTCCTATTATATGGTAGCAGGCCTTGGCAAACTGAGCAAAGCCAACACTTGCCACCATGGCTGTTGATCTTATTTATTTTAATTTTCCACACAGCTTTTTTCTCATAATGGACTACATCGGTATTAATATGGCTACGCTGAATTCCTGCATTAATCCAATAGCTCTGTATTTGGTGAGCAAAAGATTCAAAAACTGCTTTAAGGTAAGAAACTATGGCTAATTTTCTCTGAGTCAAAAACCATATGTTCTGTGGGTAAAATGTTCCCCACATAGTGGGCCTGCCCAAGTTACATGTACCAGTTAATTCACACTATGAAAGGATTTATCCCTTCAGATTTAATTGGGATTTAAGTAAAACATGGGTCTTGTATGGGGCTTCTGCACATGAATACCGAAGTCCAAAACTGTAGCCCTAACCTCCCCTCCCCCCTGCTCACCCCCTGAACTGCTGCCTAACACTGGATTTGCCTAACACTAAATTGATTAGGCATCTTCTTGTATAGCCTGAAAGTTCCCTGTACTCGTTCCCAAAACTGTCCCTGGCTGAAAAGCTACGCGCTTTTCTCTTACTTAACTCCTCTAAGAAGGCCAGTCTGATCTGCAGCCCCAGAACACACTTAAACACTGGCAGAATTAGCCTTGCACTTGTGGCCACTTTCTGTAAAAACATGGACAGAGGAGTCAGGTGATGGGGCTGCTCTGCCCACTTTAGATAAAGCTAAAGACTAAAAGAAGTGCGATTCTTGGGATTTAGGCTTTCCTCAGCCTAACGAGGTTCAAACCAGTATCTCGCAACCCAAGAAGAATGTCCAGATAACACGGCTATGAGGTGAGGGGCAATCTGCATTGCTGCTGTTGAAGCAGAGATACTGCAGAAAGGTATTCAGAATTCAAGGGGCAGGAATACAGCAAAAGAGAATAAACACCCTTCTTCAGGCAGAGAGTCTGCTGGTGAATTCTGTGCTGTTCTGGGTAGAATAGAAGCCAAAATGCAAAATGCAGGTCTGTGAAAATGCAAGTGGGTGACAGTGAGGATCAGAGGGCTGGGAGACAATAGGTGTGAGACAGGTGAGGTATAGGGGGAATGTTGAACTGGTGATAGAATGTAGCTGGTAAAATGCAAACAGGTTACCTAGGGTTATCAGATGGCAGGCAGGTTATAATGTGCCATAAATCCAATGTCTATATTTAGTCCATGAATTTTTGTATCCAGTATATTTATGAAGTTTGTAGTCTTATCTACGAAAGATGGTTTGTAAATTCAGGAATTTACAAAACATCTTTCGTAGATGAGTGTGAATTGGGCAGAACTCCTTTCAAGTTGTCCCAAGTGCCCACAGACTAGTTCTGTTTTGGCAGAGGGAATGGACTAGATGCAGTAATTTCTCTGTTCTACCTTTACTTTAGCTAATTCTCCCTGGTTTTTTGTTTTGTTTTCTTATGAATGAAAGCTACTTTCATCAAAGATTATTGGAAAAATGATGACAGAGAACCTTTCAGTCTGTCTTCATATACATAAAAGTCAGAGACTATGCTCAGGCTTGGCAGAATTTGATTTTTATTTTTTTAATAAAGTTGACTGATAATATAGATGTTTATTTTTAAGCATTTATTAAATTTTTTATCAATTAAAATTTTCAGGATGGTGCAAAATTAGAGGCATAGGGGACAGATAATTTATTAATGACAGTATACTATTATTATAGTGCCGTTTAACCACCTGTCATGATAAATGTAACTACTCTAGGACTGCCATCAGCTGAGCAGCAGAGATGTCATCAGTCCTGGCTTAACTCACCCATAGCTCCCTTGTCTTCTTTGTCACTTCTTCTTCCTTTGTTCCTAGTCCCTTGGGATTTTGGGGGGTTGCAGTCCAAACTACACTCAGCATGGTTCTGTAGGACTGTTCCACCTGTTGTCAAAAACTCCATCAGTCACCATTTTTCTTATGTCTCCTTTCTATACATTTCCATTATTAATGATGGAAATATTTTTTCGTCGGTCTGCGAGTGTGAGTTGAAATCAATGTATATCAATGCTTACCGGTAAAACTCGAATCCTGCCAAGCCTAACTATATTCAACTGATATTTATGGAGGTATAAGTGAAGACAGAATATTGTTCTTCCTCTTGTACAGAAGAGTTTAAATGGCACCCAAACTCTCAGTCATGAATGAGTTTTAGCAATTTTGCAATGTATTGTGAAAGCATTTGTATAATAGAAAGATGTAAAATGTTTCTTCATTTTATTTAAACAGTCCTGTTTGTGTTGCTGGTGCCAATCCAAAGATCTACTGTCCCTCGAAGAAAAACAGTCCTGCTTGAAGTTCAAAGCTAATGATCACGGATATGATAATTTCCGCTCCAGTAACAAATACAGCTCATCATAAAAAGTGTCAAAGATATAGCCTCTGACATTAAGTTCAGTGACTTTATTTGAATGACAGTTGCTGTTTTTAAGATGCTGAAGCATTTGAAAAACCTAGTTCTGTATTTGCACAAGAAGCAAATCATAAAAAAAATGATCATCCCAAACTCTTCATAACATTCATAATTATGCATGGTATCATTAGCCATTTGCAAATGTGATGAATAGCGGCAGAATAACAAGTCATTGTTAAAGCACTTAAACTTTTTGGAGTTCGAACTTCCAAGCTATCTTCACTTCCTGTTTATTAAACAATCGTTTGTATCCCCACAAGGATCTTAGGAACCGAAGTCAACATTCTATGAAATAGCAAACTGACTTGCTTTAGATCAAAGCCAAAATTGTGTTATTAATATTATTGTATTATCTTTAGCTGATTTAAGCAGTATCTAAATTATTAAAAAATCCAAAACATTTTGTAGTACAGGGTTGAAGGAAAACATAAGTATTTTTTATCAGGAATGCTACATTACTAGCTAGGAACAATATCAGAGGTATTGAGTCAAGTTAAAAATCATATGTATAGCTGATTTTTCTTTTAAACTGCTAGTGTTAAAATACTGTTATTTAAAGTCACTATATTATCAGTTTCTTTATTTGGCAGCACTATGCTTACATTCCGTTTCACTGTTTCCTCTGTTATTTACATGAGAGTCTTATATACAAAAACAGGGGTGGGGGAAAAGATTTTTAAAAACAGGAAAAATATGATTGTAGATCTACAAAATAAGGCACAGTAGGTGAAACTATTTTTTATTGATTTTTTTTTAAATGACAATGTCTATTTTAAATGATCGCCTTTCTGGTAGCTGACAGTAGTACAGCCAAGTTCCTTTTACTAGAGATTACAAGTGAAATTGATTCCTCAAGTGAGAGAAATCAATTTACTTCAAATTGCTGTTTTTCAGATGAAAAGCCATTAAATAAAGCATATAAAACAAAATGTAGCAGTAAGAAACAGACAATATTCAGTAATATTGAGATTTAGTTCTATTAAGTCTTTAAAGACAATATTCACACACTGTACTTAAAGAGGACACTATTGTTCGTGCATAATTCTAGACACTTTTAAAATATGTGCTTCATTACAAGTCTTTGTGTATTGCTTAGGAACATGTGCGATTAGCAGGGATCCTGGTTTTCTGTGATTTTTTTTAAAATCCCAATTTTTGGATAAAAAGGTACCCCAAAATCCACATTTTTCCATGATTAAAATGAAACACCACTAATATATAGAGAGAGCTATAGTGGTGTTTAGAAAAATGTGAGTTTTGGGTTCCTTTTTTTAATCCAAAAATTGGGCTTTTTTTTTTTTTATCAGAGAAAGACAGGATCCCTAGTGATTAGTTTTGACTTCTGTAAATATTTTGGTGAAGCATAATTCATTGTAGAATATTAAAACATGGGCAGGACCCTGTAAAAATATAGATAGATAATGATGCCTGTAGTAAACAGGATGAGTATTGCCAGGAGCAATTCGCATTTTGTATATATGTGGCTGGTGGTTTTTTGGCTTTGTTTCTTCAGTTTATGTTCCCAAAGATTCATTAACACTTTTCATGAAGCAAATTATGAAATTTTCCTAGAAATAGAGTTAGAAAACATGTTTTGCTTTTAAGGATATGCATTTTCAATAGACACAATATTTTACTATAATGAAATATTTCATAACTCAGGAAACTGCTAAACTTCCAAGTTTCATACGTACAAAATCCTCACTTATTTTTCTTAACTTTTGTACCTTGTCCACAAAGTGCCTTTGTCTCAGGATAAAATAAGTTTGGGCCAGAACTTCAATTGCTATAAATTGATATTACCCCCATTAAGATTAATGGAAATGAACCTATTTATACAGGGAGGATCTGGTCTCAATATATATGTGTATGTGTATTTGTGCACACTTTCTATCTTTAGGTTACTGTTATAATCTTCCTGTACACACAAATCTAGCTGGTACAACGTTATATACAGCAGTTTGGTATAAGGGATCCAAATTGTTTTCTGACAATGCCTTAATTGTTAAGTAGAAAAGGCTTTCTTTAATTAAAAATAATTCCTTGTCTTTTGCCCAGGAAATCAATAATTTGACTAGTATACCATGAAGATATTATGAATGTTTCAACATACCATTTATTTGAACAATTTTCATGCTAAGCTGTGAATTAATGCAAATAAAAACCCACTACTATTTCTATGAAATGCCTCTCAAATATTAAAAAAGAACAACTAACGGAATCCTATGTTTGATGCTGGTCAGTGTTATTTTCATAAAGTTGTATCATTACACTTTTGTACATGTATATTATTTTATTTCTATTTAAAATGTAATTGTTTATATTCTCCAATTGTGTAATTTTTTTTTGGGGGGGGGGGGGGTGGTTCCTGGACTACATTCTTGCTAAGATCAGGCCTCTGGGACTAAGCATTTAGAAGGGTGATTAAAAAGAAGATGGAGATGGGCTTTTCTCTGTGGTTGTAGGGGACAGGACTAGAAGCAATGGCCTCAAGCTTCAGCAGGGGAAATTTAAATTGGAGATTAGGAAGAACTTTATGACTATGAGGGTGGTCAGGCATTGGAACAGGCTACCTAGAGAAGCTGTGGAATCTCCATCCTTGGAAGTTTTCAAGAGCAGTTTAGACAGACACTTGGCTGAGATGGTTTAGTGAGGGATGATCCTGCTTTGAGCAAAGAGTTGGACTACATGACCTCGTGAGGTCCCTCCCAGCCTTATTTTCCTATGATCCTATATTGCAGATTAAGACAAGAGAGTGTATAGCTCCCTAATTTTTGAAAAACAATATAAACTTCTTGAGGGTTTTTTTGGTTTGTTTTCATGTTTTTTGAAAACAGTGGGAGATTTTCCAGTACTAACATTTTTTTCCTAGAAGCAAAGCAAAGCAAATGATCCTGCTGTTGATGTGATTTTAAAAAATACAATGGAAAGCACAAGAGATACTGTGTTCTACCTAAAAATGAATTTGAGACACAAAGGGTAAGATTTTCTAAAGTGTTCAATCAGTGTAGGCCTGTTTCTGCTTCCCTTAAGGTCAATGAAAATTTAATTATTGACTCCAGGAATAACAGATTTGGGGCACACTGGGTATGCCTACATGTTCATTAATGCACCTTAGTTACGGCGCATTTAATTTAGTACTTCTAATAAGAGGTACTAACTAAATGCATAGTAACTAAAGCAACTTTACAGTAGCACCACTGCAGTTTTTAGTGATGCTTTACTATGTATTAGCATAATAACACTGCGCAGTAGGCTTTTAGCATGGTTAATACCCACTATGCTACCACTCCCACTGAGAGGTTTTCACTCAACCACACTAGACATGCCCACTGAGAGGTTTTTAATACTTCAACATGAAATGTATTATTTATTCAAGTATTACAGGACAGGTATCAAACAAGTAAATTGTATTCAAGAATGAACATTTGTCTAGAAATGTGATGGGATAAAAGGGGATAAAAGTAGCTCCTGATGTGGAGAACTGCACTGCTTAAGCCTCAACAGGAGATATACAGACGTCAGCTAGGAAAATAAATAGCAGAACTGTCTTATGTATCTGAGAAAGGTTCAGTGAACAAGCCCTGGATGTTCTGAATGTGCGTGAGCCAGACATATCAGCCCTGGTATCCTGCACAAATAGATTTCAATTCTGAGTGAATTGCACTGATACACTGTACAAGTCAGAGAAATCAAACGTAAAACCATGTTAACACATAGTATCTGTTACGTGCTATAGGTTTTTCACTATCCCTCCAGCTTTTGAAGTCATGTACTGCTCATACCAGACACAGATGGCTTAGCAAAGGAATGTTGTATGTACCTAGACAAAAGTGTAAACATTTTTCTTTGTTGTTGTGCATAACTACGTGTTATATATTTTATTTTCTATGGTCACTTACATTAGCAATTTCTGTGGTTGACACAGTGTAAACACACTGAATTACCAATAAAAATGTTTTATTTGCTTAATTTCCAAAAAGGTATTCTCTGATCATTCTTCTTCCAAAGACATTCATTTATCAAACTGTTTTTTTACTGCAGGCGGTGTCAAAAAGATTTAAGTATATCAGCATTAAAAAACAGAGCTTTAATAAGGTGGGATAGGTTTGTTCCTCTAGATGAAAGCTGATAGTGGTTCAGGCTTGCGTATACGTTGCAAAGATTTCTAAGGTTTGTTTGAAAAAATCAATCATGTCTGCCTTTACATTCCTTGTTTTCCTTTAAAAAGTGAGTTTCAGTCTCTACACACCCATAACGGGTAACACGTTCCCGTGTTGCAAGCATAAAAGTTAAAAATCAAAGGAGGAGGAAAGTTTTAATTCATTATTCTTCATGGGGCTACGCCATCTACAGCACCACTTCCTTTCACATCATGGGAGTGATATTTTCCATATTTTTCCGTGTATATAAAGAGCCTAAAATAATGACAGATTGAGCAACAAAAGGTGTATTCAAAAATGATAATTCTTGTGTTCAGAACTCTTTCATGCCCCAAAATCTATTAATTTTTATTACAAATTACTGCATTTACTTGAATCCAAGACAAGATTTTTGTCCCCATTTAGCATGGGGCAAAACAGGTCCTTGTCTTAGATCTCAGTACAAGTTTAGGGACAGGTGGCTGCTGCAGCTCCGACTCAGCTGAGGGTTGGAGTCGAAGCTGCAGCTTCTGCTCTCTCTCACCACCTGGCCCCTGACAGCCTCTGATTTCCTTGCCTGCCTCCCACTGTCTTCTTCGCCACTGCCTCCCCCCCGGCCACCACTGCATACTCTCCATCCGGGCTCCAGCTCCAGACCTGCTCCAACCTGGGGCTCAGAGTGCGTGGTTACTCCAGCCCCCATCCAGCCACACAGCAGTGGTAGTGTCAGGTCTGGCCCCAGCTCCAGCTAGGCCAGGGTTAGGGCCAGAGCTGCCACTGCTGTGTGGTTGGGCAGGGGCCAGAGTGCCCATGTGCTCCATGCCCTTGGAGCAGGGATGGAACCAGGACAGAGGATAAGTGGTGATGCCGGGAAGGGGAAAGCAGTTAAGGAGGGGAGACATGGGAGTGGCAGGTGCCAGGGGGCACAGGCACAGCAGGGGCAGGCAGCAGGGGGAACAAGTAGCAGGGAACAAGGTGGGCGAGTGCAGGTACCATGAGGGAGGCAAGTGGCAGAGGGGGCAAGTGCCAGGAGATGCAGGCACTGGGGTGGAAGCAGGGAACAGGTGAGACAGACAGCAAGAGAGCAAATGGTGGTAGGAATAGGCAGCGTGGAGACAAGGGGTGAAGGGTAGGCTGCCTGCCTTCCTGCAGCTGCTTGCCCTGCCGTAGTGGTGGGGAGATTAGATTTGATACAACTTTAGATTCTAGATCCTATACATGGAAAATTATAGCAACTTCATAAAATTTCCATGTATAAAATCTAATTTTTGCAGGGGGGTCATCTTAATTTCAAAGTCATTTTGGATTTGGGTAAATAGGTATTTAGTGCACCTGTGCTAAAAGTATGACCTGCTCAAATCAGTATTGATCCTCTCTACTCTGTGTGCAGAGGTCCTCTACTCCCTACTCCATGGAGCAGTCAGAGGCTAGCCTGGAGACCCTACCTATTTATTAGCTCCCTTGGCCTTTCTCCTTTCTTCACACCACTGGCACTGAGGAATACCAGGATCAAAAGTTCTTCCCAACCACTTCTGCAGAAAGTAGTTTCCTTTTTTTGAGGTCTGATGTCTTCATACTTAACAGACAAACGTTCGTTTTTCATAGTTGTAGCAAACCTAGCTACTTTGCTGCTATCTCACACCTTGCCTCTCCCAACTATTTACCACAAATGCATCCCTGGATCCCAGAAGTGATTGTCCTCTAGTCTCTTCTATGAAAGGGGAGAACCCATTTCTGGATGTTGTTACTACTTCTTTCTTCAGTATTACCTCATGCAATCCTAGATGATTCATCTGGAGGAGTCAAGGGATCTAACTTGTTCTCAATTTTCTAACCACATAAAAAATTGTATTGCGTCATGTATGATACGGTGGGCGTGTCTACACAAGATGCTACGTGACTGCAGCAACGAGTTACAGTGACATAGCACATCACCAGGGAGCCTGATTTTCTCTGATAAAAAAAAATCCCCAATTTTTGGATTAAAAAAAGTAACCCAAAATCCACATTTTTCCTTCATTAAAATGAAATGCCACTCATATATCTACGCCCTGACTGAAATATATATGTGGCATTTCATTTTAATCACAGAAAAATGTGGATTTTGGGTAACTTTTTTTAAATAAGTATATGTATGTATGTATGTATGTATGTATGAGTGGCGTTTCGTTTTAACCATGGAAAAAAAGTGGATTTTGGGTTACTTTTCTTAATCTGAAAATTGGGGAATTTGTTTTATATCAGAGAAAACCAGGATCCCTGCTCATCACTATGGCAACATAGCATTGGCAGGCACAAACTGTGACACTGATGCTACTGAGCAGTAGCATCAGAAACAACCTGTACGGGCTTGGACTGCGCAGTAACAACTGTGCAGTCCAGCACACATGTAGACGCACCAAGTAAAATGTAATTTATATTCTTTGGACATAAATCTCATATTGATCATTATCAGGAGAAAAGGCTGCCTTGCAGATGCAGTGGAGAATGAGAAGATTAGGACAGCCTCTAACATAAAAGCACAACCATCAGAAATTTAGAGGTACCTCCTATCTACCTATTAGATGCCAAATTAGACTTGGGCAACTAAATCCTATTCCATCCTGTTCAAGCCCCTGAAACACCATTAATACATCAACATTTAAAGCTAAGATTACAGCATGTGTTACAAGACTTGGTCACAAAAAACAGAAAGAAAGAAGAGGATCTAGCTGATCTTTCAGGGGGTTGCGTAAAATGTAAAGGCAGTCCTTGACTTATGAGTTTTTGAGTTACAATGAACGGCATTTGTAATATTTGTAAACTGACACCCTGTTTCGAGGTTCCAATATGGGTTTCACCTTTATGACACTTGACACAGCTGCATCCAGCTGGTAAGTGTGTTGTGGGTGAAGGGAAGGAAGGGGTGTAGGGGGCAGGTCAATCCCTGCAGCGAGGTAGGGATTGTGGCTGGGGCTGGGGCCGGGGCTGGAGCAAGCTGCTCAGCCAGGGCAAGAGGACATGGGGAGAGCCGGGGGCGACTCCTGCCACTGCGTGCCACCAGTCTGGGAGGACACAGGGGGGAGGTGTGCCTCGGATCTGTGAGGGGTGGGTGGGGCCAGGGCTACACCAAGCTCCAGTCTAGGCAGAGGGCTCTGGGAGGGAAGGCTGTGCCCTCCCGCCACTCACCCAGCTGGGGCAGGGGGCATGGGGTGGAGGCAATGCGCTGCCTTGGACAAGCAGCAGCCTCCCCGCGCCTCCTGGATGAGCTGTGGCTTGACCCTTCCTCATTCCAGCTGAGTGAGTGGTGGCAGGGCATGGCATGGGCTGGGGGGTGTGCCTCAGATCTGCACAGGGCACCGGGCCTGGGGCTGTACCACGCTGCACTACGGGCAGACGGCAGGAGCTATGGGGAATTTTAGGGTGGCTGCAGC